GAGAATTGGTCGTCTCTGAGAGCCCACCAGCCCTTGACTGATAGTCCTGGATTAGGAAGGCCAGATAAGATTCTTTGAAGAATCTTAGCTGAATTCAGAGCCCAAAATCTTACATACATTTGGCTACTCTGTAAGTATAGATGGCTGGCCTTATTTTATAGGTTAATCAGTTAAGTTTGAGATGAGCTTAATCGCTATTTCCTGGAATGGAATCGGAGGATTGTGACATTGATTTGGGCTGGGATTTTGCAGGTTAAGATAGGGTCGTAGAGGGGAATCAGGATTTTAGCAACTTGGTTTTTCGTTCTCTCTACATTGGGAATAATAGAAGAAGCAGATGGTCCCTCAGTACAACTTTTTTCCATGTTCTCCATTGGTAATAATGATCTGTACAGAACAGTTGTCTACACGAATGTCAGCCTTTGTGCAGTCTGTTTGTGCTCACCTTCACGAATTCCTTGACTTCACCACCTTCTTCGTACCGCAAGCGTAGCATTGCCGCATTTACTGTAAAGTCAGTTTTGGAGATTTGGTCTCTTGTCTATTTCCTTGCTGCTTCCCCATTCTAATTCATATTGTCTTCCATTTGAAAACCTGTGAAGCTCATGGCGTGTGTCAGTTCCTTATTTTCTCATCATTTTATTATCCAGGTGCCCTCAATTACTATTTTCTTTAAAAAATAAGTAAAGTACATAACATAACAATCTACTCTAATAAATTGACCACTTATCGAATTAGGCCCAGCCCCAAATGTATCCCCACTTCACACAGACTATCTATTATTGTCTACCATGCTTTGGTTTGGGCAGTGTCAGTTTATCAATGATGTTTTAAGCCACATGATACAAATATGGTATAAGGTAAAATTATTACTCTTATAGAATCTTGTAATCCCCGACTTCAGGGAAGGAGATAGAGAACCTGAGTCATGTGAAAGGTGATTGATTAATGAGCACCTGACAGAGTTAGTTAATTTGGTAAGGATGATAATTGACATACATGTTTAAAAAGATTATTTTGCATTGTGAAGTAAAAAATAAAGCAACTATATTCTTATTTCTAAAACAATTTTTAAATGCTTACTTATTTATTTTGAGAGCGAGAGAGAGAGTACGAGTGAGCAGGGGAGGGGCAGAGAGAGAAGGAGGGAGAATCCCAAACAGGCTCCATGCAGAGCCTGACATGGGGCTTGAACTCATGAACTGTGAGATCATGACTTGAGCCATAAGGAGGCCACTGGGGAAAATGATGAATTTCTCACATACTACAAGAAAGGGAACATTTTCTCATAAAAGATGTCATATATCATGGCATCATATACTTTTGTCAAAAAGTTTGTGCTATAGAAAATTAACAGTTGAGTAATTTTAATTCTAATAATTTGCTCATGCTTACCATTAAGCTGAAAAGTAGTTTTAGAGGAATGCCTGTGTGGCTCAGTAGGTTAAGCATCAGGCTCTTGATTTTGGCTCAACTCATGATCTCATGGTTCATGAGTTCGAGCCTGATGTCAGGCTCTGCATAGCGCCTGTTTGGGATTCTCCCTCCTTCTCTCTCTGCCCCTCCCCTGCTCACTCGCACTCTCTCTCTCAAAATAAATAAATAAACATTTAAAAAATCGTATTAGAAATAAGAATATAGTTGCTTTATTTTTTATTTCATTTTACTTTAGGAAGAGAGTCTTTTTTTCCACAAAATAAAAAAACTTTCCATTTGCATTTATTTTATGCTGAATTTATTCCTAGTCTCTAAAGTTTTGTTTCCTCATTTTATTCTGGGATATCTTTTTTTCTTGTCTTGCCTTGTCTTGTCTTTTCCTTCCTTCCTTCCTTCCTTCCTTCCTTCCTTCCTTCCTTCCTTCCTCCCTCTCTTTCTCTCTCTTTCCCTCTCTCTTCCTTCCTCTTTCTTTTCTTTTCTTTTCTTTTCTTTTTTTTTCCTTTTCTTTTCCTCTCCTCTCTTCTCCTTTTCCATTTCCTCTTCCATTTCCCCTTCCCCTTCCTGTTCCGTCCCATCCTGTCTATAAAATTTTGTTTCCTCATTTTATTCTGGGATATCTTCCCTCCTCTCCCCTCCCCTCCCCTCCCCTCCCCTCCCCTCCCCTCTCCTCTTCTCTCCTCTCCTCTTTTTCCTTTCACAATCTCCTCTTCTGGTTCAGAAGCATTTGTTCTTTTCCAGTAAGGATCATCTCAGTGTGGCATTAGGAGCCTATGTATTGGTTAAGCTGACCATGAGTTATATAAATCTGACAGTCTGTGTTTGGGGCTTTTTTTTTTTTTTTACATGGATGTGCTCAATGACCTAATAATCTACATCTAAACCCTTAAGTTCAGCATTACTGTCTGCATTTTTAATCATGTGCAGCAAAAATTCAGCACTCTTTTGGGGCCACTGACCCTGTGTCCAGACCTACTGTTTTGCCTGGGCTACCTACCGACTGCATCGTTGTAACTATGGAATAGCACCCACTGCTTATGTAAAGTGGTTTCTTTCACATACTTAGTGGTATGGTGGTCTGTGTGGTTTCACTAGTGTTCTTAAAGTGAACATGAAGATTTGAACCTCTTGATGTGCAAGATGTTGTTGAGTATTCTGGGACAAGTGAATAATGAACTGTATTTGGAGATCACCTCAGGCCGCTTACTGGAAGAGCCTTTTTTCCCCTCTGTGTTGGATCTTCAAGTATCGGTACATGGTTCTATCAGTCAGGCTATATTGGGGAACTAGAAACAATATTAGATATATTAAACAGAAGGACTTAATATATATAGTTAATTTTTTCATGGAAAGATTACAAAGTTTGAAAGATCTGCTTTTAGGCTGAAACTTTTCAAAGGGGTCCTATATAACTGGTATACCAGGGAAGCTAAAGCCTTTGAAGCCACCATTGGAAACTGGAGAGTGGACAGTGGAACATTCTTCCAGAGCAGCTTCCAGTTAGCAGATCTTGGTCACTAACAGAACAGTTAAGGACACTTGGAGTATGGCTCCTATCATTCCACTTTCTAAATCTCTGTTTAGCTGTATCTAATTGGATGAACTTAACTGCAAAGGAGTCTATAAATGTAGTTTTTTTCCCTCCACTTTTGCACGTAGAAGTAGAGGGTGCTGGAGTCAACCCAAATAACTGCCAAAGTGTCTTGATTCTATTTAAGAAGTCTTTTTCTGCTGCCTGTATACATAATTAGAAAGGCTAAAATTCTCAGGAATCCTTCCATTCACTGGTACTATGACCTTCTGTGATCATTGGCTTTGAGTGTTACGTTAGACTACTTGGCTTGTAAATGTGAGAGTATAAATAATATGTAGGAAGAAGTGTAATAGTTGCAATTGTGCTAGGCTGTTATGATTTAGGATCAATTTCTCCTCCTCTTTTTCCTCTTATTTCTTTTCCTTCTCCTTCACATCCTTTACTTTCTTTTTTTTTATATTGCTTTCATATGTTCCTTCCCCAGGTTAGGGAAGTTTTCAGGTATGATTTCTTCAAATAAATTTTCTGCCCGCTCCCCCCCGCCCCCCTTTTCTCTCTTCTTCTTTTGGGACTCTTAGAATACAAATGTTATTACATTCAATGGAATCACTGAGTTCCCTAAGCCTGTTCTTATGTTCCATAAATCTTCTTTCTTTTGTTCAACCTCTTCATTTTCCATTTATTTGTCTTCTATATTACTTATTCATTCCTGTGCTGCTTTTATTCTTGTGTTCTTACATCCGGTCTGTTTCAAATCTTGGTTATTGCATTTTTCATTATTGACTTTTTTTTTTTTTTAACTCTTTTATCTCTGCAGTAAGGGGCTCTTTGAAGTCTTCCACTCTTTTCTCAAGCCCACTGAGTAACCTTATGATTATTCCTTCTTACATTCTCCATCAGGCTTATTACTTATATCCGTTTCAATTAGATCTCTGACTGTGACTTTATCTTATTTCATTTGGGATGAATTCCTCCATCTTGGCATTTTGTCTAAGTCTGTCTTCTGTGTGTTTAAAAAGCCTGTTATGTTTCTGGCTCCTGAGAATAATGGCTTTATGAAGAAGAGGTCATATAGTGCTTTCATTATCATCAAATCGACAATGAAAAAGAGCTGGTCTTGGTAATAACATTTGAGAACTGAGTTTAGAATCCTTTTCCAGAATTTACTTCTTGTGTGCCTTTTATCACCTAACCTTTTTGTATGGTCATTATAAAAAAAATGGGGAAATGAGATCACTACTAAGTTATCAGGATGACTTAAAAAATATTTACTGATGATTACAGGTCACTCTTAAGGTTACACCAGAGAAATGAAAATAATCTATACGTTTTACTAATCCAGGTATCACTTCTGAAATGCCTTTGGTAAAATATTAAAATTAAGGTAATCATGATATAAGTGAAATGACACATACGCATATGGGTGTGAAAGCTATTTCACATAATCTTATTGGGGATCCCTTCAGTGATTACCTTTAAAAGGTAGTGATGACTTTTAAAACTGAGGATTTAAAATGTCTTTAGGGAACATCTTAATACCAAGTATTATTTGGGAAGGTATGAGAGAAGCCTGTCTTGGAAATAAACTGGATTGTCACTCAGAAATTTTTTCCCTATTTTCACTGGTCTACTTGTATTTAATGATATCATTTAAAGATGGGCCTTTAAACAAGGGCCTTTGGACTTTATGGTAATATGTATAAACCACTTTTAAGTCCAAGTGTGAAAAGGAGACGATACATAGAAATACTAATAGTATCTCTCTGTAAAGGAATCTTTCTGGAATTATTACAACAAGCAAATATATTTTACAACTTTAAAAAATATTTTATTATTTAAATATTTTTGGTCTCTCTCTCTCTCTCTCTCTCTCAAAGCAGGCTCTGCACTGATAGCAGCAGGCCAACATGGGGGTTGAACTCATGAATGGTGAGATCGTGACCTGAGCTGAAGTTGGACACTCAACTGACTGAGCCACCCAGGCACCCCAAGTCCTTATTTTATATTTAACTATGTCTTTGTTGTCCCTCAGGAAATTATTGACATGAAGTCTGAAGGACAGGCAACTGTGATTCAGCAGCTGGAACAGACCATTGAGGATCTGAGGACGAAAATCGCTGAACTGGAGAAGCAGTTTCCTGCCCTGGACATGGATATGGCCAGAGGCCGTCATGGGCCTCAGAATGGAGTCGTGCCCTTAGAAGATGTCTGTCTTGAAGCTCTCAGGTTAGAAGAAAAGGATGTACGTCATCAAAGGACTTTACAGGCAAAGTCGATCCAGACATCCCCGACAGAAGAGGGTGGGATGCCAGTACTGCCTTCTGTGAATACACTGCCAGAGTACACTCACCACCCACCTGGGGCTCAAAGTGGAGACTCAGCTGTGCCGTCCTCACCTTCCGGACCTCAGACAAAATTCTGTTCAGAGATTTCTTTGATTGTGTCTCCAAGGAGAATAGCTGTACAGCTCGACACACATCAGCCCACTTTGCCTCCACCACATCAGCCCACTTTGCCTCCACCACCTCCGTCCCTCCCTGGTTCTGATGGTCAAAGGCAGGCGGGGTCACAGTCTTTCCAGCCTCCTCTTCACACTGAGTCTGAGACCAGCCATGAACACTCTGTCTTCTCTTCCTTTGAAAATGGCCATAACGTCCAATGCTCACCACCTCTGCCTTGCACAGAGTCTTCCAGTTCCATGCCTGGCGCAGGCTTGGCGGCTGCCCCCCCTCCCCTTCTCCCTGGCACAACAGGACCTGTTCCGCCCAGTACGGCCATCCCCCCACCTCCTCCTCTGCCTGGCACAAAAATGTTACCACCCCCTCTTCCACCTTTGCCTGATGAAGGGATACCTCCTCCTCCTCCTCTTCCCGGTGTGGGAATACCTCCTCCCCCCCCTCTGCCAGGTGTGGGAATACCTCCTCCCCCCCCTCTTCCCCCCCCTCTCCCCGGTGTGGAAATACCTCCTGCCCCCCCTCTTCCCGGTGTGGGAATACCTCCTGCCCCCCCTCTTCCCGGTGTGGGAATACCTCCTGCCCCCCCTCTTCCCGGTGTGGGAATACCTCCTGCCCCCCCTCTTCCCGGTGTGGGAATACCTCCTGCCCCCCCTCTTCCCGGTGTGGGAATACCTCCTCCCCCCCCTCTTCCCGGAGTGGGAATACCTCTTCCCCCTCCCTTGCCAGGTGAAGGAATACCTCCCCCCCCTCCTCTGCCCGGAGTTGGGGTTCCTCCACCTCCTCCTTTGCCAGGAATGGGGATTCCATCTGCTCCAGCTACCCTGCCAACTTCTGGAATGGGCATTCCCCCACCCCCTCTGCTTCCCGGATCAGGCCCTCCTCTCCCCCCTCAAGTTGGAAGTAGCACTTTATCAGCACCACAAGTGTGTGGTTTTCTGCCTCCTCCATTGCCAGCTGGCTTGTTTGGACTAGGGCTGAACCAAGACAGAGGAAGTAGGAAGCAGCCAGTAGAGCCTTGTCGGCCCATGAAGCCTCTGTATTGGACGAGAATTCAACTGCATAGTAAAAGGTAACATGAATTGGAGCTCAGCTTCGCACAGTTTGTCAATGGGAGGGAGCATTTACCTTTAAAACTCTTGGGGAAATTACAGTTTAGTGTTTTTTTTTAAGTACTGCTCTGAAACTTGTCTGCATATTGTTATGTTAGTATTTAGTGAAGCGATCTGTTCTTTCAAATTTTAGATTTTTCTCAGAAGTATCAAAGATATAAAACAAATGACAGATGTGTATCAATGTATAAGATGTACAGATAACTATCTGTATCATTATTGGTCAATCTTATAAAAATGGAAGGATATATTTTTCTTAGCATTCATGCTCTATTGCCTCATTCCAGAACCTCACTCAAACAAATAGCTTATAAATATAAATCAAGTCCTTAAGACACACTGACTCTTCAGGATATACTTTGCATTCTTTTGAAGGCACAGTCTTGTTGTACTATTCCATTTTGTTTGCAGTAGTCTTTCTCTTCAGAGATGTGGTATACAAAAATGTACATATCCACACCCCATGTGTGAAATCATTTAGTTTTGAGAATTTCCTGGCATTTCTATAGAGAGTTTATGACACAATGTGAAGTCATAAAATCATACTTGGGAATGATATTTATAAAAGAACACTTCGCACCATGTATGCTGGTGGCATGTTACTTCTCCATAAATAGTCCATAGTGTTGCCCCCTGACCCCTGGGACAGTGCTCTGACACATGGCTGAGGAACGTGCTGGTGGGGGACAAAACATGTTCTTTAAACTTCACTGGCCTTCCTTTTTCTAACTTTTCATGATCCCTTGATTTTTTTTTTAATTTTTGTATGATGTGGCATGCATTTAGACTAGGATCCTTCCAGGCCTCATTCTCATGTGTTATACTGATTTCCTCTTCACTGAATCACATTAGGGGAGAAGAATCTAGATAGTTGACTGCTTCTAAATTTGCAGCTCATTCTTTCTGTAATTGTCATGTTACATATATATGTGGTGGCATCATTTCAAACTGTGACCCAAACTCACTTTATCCGGATACATTATATGAAGTTATTTTGGTTTTTTGTTCCTTTGTTTCTTTTGTTTTTTTAAACGGACCTACCCTTTTTTGGCGGTTTGACATGAATCTGCATTGCTAAAGTCAGATAACAGTGGGCTGATGGAAGTGGACAGGAGATGGAGGATGTCACCTTAGATCATAAAATAATTTCTTTTTTAACCCATACATAATCCACAAAGCTGATGAGTCAGGTTGGAATTGTGAGATATCAAATATTTCTTGCCTTTATAGCTTATACTGAGAGGGGCTTTTTCTTCTTTGTTTTCATATAGTGACTTGATAACTAAGAATTCCTGGAAAGTATTTTTTCTAGACAAAGGTTTCATTCTGTATGATGGTATTTTAACTTTCTTATCAAGTTGATAAAACAAATGGCAGTCTTACAGACATGGTATTCTTTCTTCCTTACTCCTTCCTCATGTTTTTTTCTCTTCTGCCCTTCTTTCCTTCTCTTCTCCATTTTTGTTTATGCTCATGATGACATCTTGTAGTTTGGTTTGATGGCTGTTTCATTCGTCTTTTGCTTACCTTTAGAGACTCTAGTCCTTCACTTATTTGGGAAAAAATTGAAGAGCCATCCATAGATTGTCATGAATTTGAGGAATTGTTTTCTAAAACTGCTGTGAAGGAGAGGAAGAAACCTATATCTGACACCATTACAAAGACCAAGGCTAAACAAGTGAGTATTTGTATGTTTTCTGAGATTGGGCAGTATTTTGGGCATAAGTATGAACTTTCATTAGAAAAAAAATTGAAACTGTTTTCTGGCCTGTAGAACCTCCATAGTCTTAAATCAGATAGTAGAAGTTAGAGTTTTAGAACATGTAGTTAAGTCAAATTATGCCAAACAGAACAACAAATAATTGTTTCCACTAAGTGACAATGTCCTGACTATTTTATTTGTAGCCTTGTACAAATAAAGCCTAGTACTTCCAAAATTTCACCTACTGCTTGTTTCCAGAATTAGTTGTCTAGAAATAAATTATCAATTGATTGAAATTCATCTGAGCACTAGTATGGATGGAAAGAAAGGTAAAAGTGAGCAAAGAAAAACAAGTAAGCAGGAAGTCCAGTACTTAGTAATCTATAATGCGTTTGGTATTTTGTGGAATTGACACTCTTTAGAATTGAGCTAAATAATCACACTGTACTTGACATATGGAAGAAAGCCTTATATATAGTACCAACATCTCCATTCTTTGTTAGAGCCTTTGATCTATCCTGTGACACCTGGATTAGAGAAAGAAAGAATAGTACATTTGGAGAAAAAAATTTCAAAGCAGCATTTCCCAACTGGTCCACCCAGTGGCCTTGATCATGAAATTTCTTGTCATTCGGGAAATTATAGTACAACTCCACAGTAATAAGCCTCAGATAGAAGGTATTGCTACTGCTGTCCATCCTTCACCCTAAAATGGGGAATTGCTACATTTCTTAATTTTTCTGATGGGGGGATATAGTACCTGGATGCAAGAGAATAGTGAGCAGCTCAGTTCTGGGAGGCAGTGAGAGAGAGAAATGAGACCCCAAGACCCCAGTGTTCTCCTGGATCATTCTCCCCACATGAGTGGCAACCAGTGGGGTGATTTCTTGAAATTTTGCCCCTGACCTGAAAGTTGTAGCTGAAAGTATGATGCAGAGTTGTAGCTAAAAGTATGACCCATTGATATTTATTTCAGAGCAAAGAACGGCCACCATATGGATACTGCTAAATCCAGCCAGGGAAAGATAGATTTGAATGGCACGGCTAGAACGCTGGAGCCTCTCGCTGCAAGATAGGCAGGCTCACTGCAGCCATTTCTATTACTCTGAAAATGATGCAAACCTAAATATTATGCAGTTGAAGTTTTCAGAATCATTTATTGTAGTACAGCTGGCCTCTGGTGACCTTAGGTCAAGGACTGTGATAAATTGGACAATAGTTGGCATATTGTAGGCACTGAATTAATATTTGTTTAAAAGTAAACCAGCTGACCATGGGGGGAGGACTTCATAATCAGTGACTATGCCTCATAATGATTAAAAACCAGAAAATCATTCATCTCATAATAATCAGTATGGCCAAGGTAATAGTGCTAAGGGGAATGAAGGTAAATGGAAAGCCACGTTTTCTCTGACAGAGGTAAATATTTAAAAAGCTCTATTTCACAGTATGTTTGCATATAGCACACTTAGGCTGAATCATACCTTTTCTCATGGACTGTCAGATATGGGACAACTGGGCAAAGAATATGGTTAGGGAGTAAACACACACACACACACACACACACACACACACACCCCAAGGACAGAAAGGCAGATGATATCAGAGGATGTTTCTTATCTAGGGAAGGTATACTCAGAAAGGCAAACAATGCCTTCTCCATCTTCTATCACTACTTTTCCCCATTGAATGAACATAGATAAGGAAGATACTTCATATATTACCAGAGACTTGAGGATTTCATGACTGACTTGACATAATATTCAGTTTTTAGCTTACTGAAATAAGATTTATGTTTAAGTCCTCAAAAATTCACAAATTCAACTAGTTGGCATGAGATGGATTCTGCACACAAACAGTTCACCTGTATTGAACGTCATCTCGGCATGATCACATGATCAACTTACTCTGTCATTGAGACATTTCATAAACTATGGGTAAGAGACTTTGCCAGTGTCATAATTTGCTCGTATTGACTGTGGTGCTGCTGTTGACCTTCCAAACAGGGCTAATGGAAAAGTCTCCATTATGACTCCTGATGAGCGTGTTCAGCATCTCTTTGGCCTAGGTCTTGGTACTGAGCTCTGCACTTCAGGTCTATTTTGGAAGGGATAAGATTTTTGTTTTGTCCCTTTTTCCCTTTCTCTTTCTCTTTCCTTCCCTTTTCTTCCCCATACAAGATACAAGTACCTTGTATGTTGGAGAGAGAAAAAACTGCAAAGTGATATATTGCTGAAGAAACTTAGTTTTACTTTACTTTGTTGTATTTGGAAGAAAAATCTATTCACTCCATCTACTTGAGACAATTAAAATTTTGTTTAAGGCAGATGTATTTTCAGGGTGTATGCAAATCATTCCCCCTTTTATGGGAAATGTATACTGATTACATGTGCAGACATTTTGGTTCCTCATGATTCATGTCCAGGGTAATGAACAGCCTTTAATGCTCTGGCATATGTTTATGGAGATATTTAAGCAATTCTTCTTATATACAATGGAAGCTAGAAGTTCTGTTTTTCTTTAAATATTTAAAAATAGCCAAATAATTTTTATGTGATCTGTCTTTTTCTTAAAAGTAAGACTGTGGTCAAATGCGCTGGTATTTAATGAGGTGCCTATGCAGGTTTTACTCTTTCGGAAGAAACATTTTCAGCGTGGTAGTAGAAGATCCCTTAGCTAGGCACATGGCCGTTTGGCATGAGGAGATACCTAGTCTAGCAGTAATGATGAATATCTTGTATTTCTAAACCTTTTTTCCTCCAAGGAACCTAAAACAAAAACTTTCTTATTTTTTCATGGAATATATATATTTCCGTGATGACTTCTTTATTCTTTATTTTGAAGTATTTAAAACATAAGGAGATTAGCTGAGAAGGTATATGCGAGTTTATCAGACTATGATCTGACATAGTTCTTTTTTTTTTTTTTTAATTTTTTTTTAATGTTTTTATTTATTTCCAGGAGAGAGAGAGAGAGAGAGAGAGAGAGAGAGAGAGAGACAGCGTGAGCAGGGGAGGGTCAGAGAGAGAGGGAGTCACAGACTGAAACAGGCTTCAGGCTCTGAGCTGGCAGTCAGCACAGAGCCCGACGTGGGGCTCGAACCCACGAACCGCGAGATCATGACCTAAGCGAAAGTCGGATGTTTAACCGACTAAGCCACCCAGGCGCCCCATGACATAGTTCTTCTTAAGGGAGTGTGACACGTATACATCACAATTAAATATCAATCTGCTAACTGAACAACAATAACCCTGTTTCCTATGGTATCAGGAGGAAGGTAGAAGAAACAAATTTTGGGGGGGATTGTGTTTAAACACTGATACGCTAGCCCATTTTTTAAAGAATGCTCTAGAACTAGTAAACATTTAGCCCAATCTCCTCTCTATTGCTGGGGTAATCCAATGAATATTAATGTTGATAATGATCTTAAGACACCTCAGGATCTTCTGTGTTCCACTAAAGATTAAGTTTAACCTGAGTTTATGAGCAGAAAAGTGAGACTTGATAGTAAGAGCTGCCTCAAAAAGAAGTTTCTAGTTAATCCTGTGTCAGACAGGGTCATAAACAAATATACTTGGTAGATGTGGTAACAGTTGTAGCAACAGCAGTAGTAATAATAATAGTGGTAGGTAGGACAACAATAAGGATTTTGGAAGCCACAGGCATACTGGGTTTTATTTACCATGTGCCAGTCATTGTTTTTTAGCATTCCACTTGTATTAAATCATTTAATCCTCCTCATTCTATGAGGTAGACTCATTATCACCAGTATATAGTATAGAAAACTGAGGTTTAGAGGGACTAAATGATGTTTCCAGGCTAGTAAGAGGCAGAGCTCAAGTACAAACTCCATTAGTCTGACACCAGAGCCTGTGATCTTAATCATTAAGTAATGAGTGTGAAGTATTTTTTGTAAGTGTGAGCATACTATTTTATTTATGTGGAGACCAGAATAGCTACTTTAAGAAAATAATAATTTGAATTTGTATTGATTTTTATACATACTCAATATTAAGTGACTGGTTGCACTCACGAAATTGTATGTGAAGATAATTTTAAAGCCTTTTCCAGATTCTTACAGATTTTGACAGGTACATAAACGATGATGCCATTAAACATGACATTTGCCGAATTAAATAACAGTTTATCTTAGAGATGAATATTTTAGACACATAAGCTTCTGTAAACCGTAAAAATGGGGGCATTTGCTTGTGCAGCATTTCAGTACTGGTTGGAGGTCGATAGCCACAGTGGTTGAACCTCACCAAATGTCAAGTGATGATACTTCTGCTTCACTCCATGACACCAAAAGGAACCATCTCTGTAAAATATGCCTTAAGTAAATAAGGCCTAATGATACTTTAAAAGTCTGTAAGGGAACATGCTATCCGTAATGGAACTTTAAACACAGGAGTTAACAAGAGTGAATAAGAAGAATCCGTGTTAATTTTTAAATACATAACTGGCATCTGTATAACCTTTTAATGCAACACAAATGGATCTCTTTCTGGGTTTCTTCTATTTATCAGATTAAAATGCTCTGCCCAGAGAATGGGAGAGAAAAGCAAGTCATAATGGTTAAGTATTTGTTGGGATTTAGCCTCTGGAAGTATGATTAGAAAAATAGATAGTTAAATCTGCTACTTATTATAAGGGGAGGTAGTAACAGGATTTGTTAGAATTCCATTTAATACAGATCTAAATGTTAAAGAATTAGACATTTGGTATTCTGTTCAATCTTTCCATTGTGTTTGCTGACCGAACCTCTTTTAAGGCTTTATGTATGTGTGTTGTAAAAACCCATAATAACAATGGGAAAAGAAGCATTCGTTATTCATATGTTCCTGTATGGAAATGTATGATGTAATGCTTCTAAGCATTCTTACATGAAATAGTAATGGCTTCTTTCTACCATGTTGAGGCATTGGGAAAAAGTGTGTGCTACACTTCAAATATTGTCTGCTGTGGTAATAGTG